ACAATGAAGCAAAGCTGCAATCTGATATGACCCAGACTGACCGACCTGACACCTTTCTCCCATTGTCTCAATTTAATATATGTTTGGCAAATGTAACTGAATAGTAAAAATTCGAGCCACAAATAGATTAATGTAAACGGTTATTACATCCACAGGTAACGAGCCCTCCTTCTCCTGGACTGGATTCTCCTGAATAAAATATGTAGTAATCTGATTACAAGGTGCTTTAGTCTGATGTGAGCAACATCAAATGTCTGTCAGTCCATCAAATCACTACCACATGGGTCACATGGACATAAGCGGTGTTAAATATCCGTACTGTGGTGCAGTTAATATCCAACTAGAACAATAAATCTAGGTTGATATAAACTAATACAGTATATAAACATTACTGATAAAGACAATCAGCTACTCACAGACATGTCACATCCCACGACGTGAAATCGACACGGTGTTCTGAATTTGCTGCAGAATTTAATATGGTCCACATACTAGGAAGAAAAACAAAACAAAAAAAACAATAAAAATCCATGAATCAATGTACAAACTTAGCCACAGCTTGTTCCTCGTGTATTGTCATGTTTCTTGACATGTACTGCTTTTCAGACATCTGTTGCTCATTAAAAAATGAGTCTCTTTCCAAATTGAAACAAAGATAGCAACTGGAAATAACATACTGTACGTGTTTGTTTACCACATATATACATATTCAGTCAGTATATATAATGTAGAAACCTTTGCTTTTTTATGTTTTGCATATATTTAACCCTCATACAAAATTAGTTTCAATGTTACCTTTTAAGAAAGTGTTGTTTTGTCTTGTCACTTTTAATATAAAAAAAAAAAACCCAAACTGTAAAGACGAAAAAAAAATTGTTGGACTTTCAAGTTTGTGATGTTCTTTGAGCTAATCGACTTTGACGTGACGTTCTGTCAGGATACTTATCAAGGTATAGGCTTGAAAATGTCATATTCCCTCAGTCATTTCATTCTACGCGTCTAATTTAAAAACGTGCCAAAAATGAACCGCTGGCACTGGATTCTATAAAAAACAAGAAATTCTACACAGCTTGGTGCAACCAAAGTGATTCAGCTGTGACCTAAGAGTCACAAGACAAAAATTCAATAAGTCTTTGGCTGAACTGCAGGTTATTTACACAGAGCAGAGACATCTGAGTTGTAAAATATCGATAGCTATGTAGAGTCAATATTTGTTTTTTTCCAGTATTGATAACACTGGAACACTTTTATTGAAAATGAGAGCCAGTTCTCAGCTAACTTAGCAGGTAAAATAAAGGTTAAATAAATACTTCTTTTTTTTTTTTAAACTGGCAAGCTCTTGGAAAAATGTTGATTCAGTTTTTCTTTTTTTTTAAATAAGCAATTCAAAAAATTAACATGTAATTTTTCTTTTTGTATGATTTAGAGCATTATATCTTTGTCAAGCTGCACATTTTTTTTTCAGTTCTCTCTACTTCTACCAATGGTTCTATTGTTTCCATACAGGTGCATGGCTTTATATTGCAGCGCAAAAAAAAGGAGCCCACAATGAAGAAAAAGAGGGACAGGAGCAAAAAATGTCAACAAACTGCTTTGATATCTGAGGGTTAACCGACCCTCATAGTCTTTTAAAGATTTCCAGCTGTATGTTTCTCATCTACTGTGAGAGGCCCAACATGCTGGAGCTCCTATGATCTGTTTTGCACCACAAAGCTTCCACCTTGTCAGCGTGTTGTTTACAGGTTTACCTTTTCTCTGGGTATTTTCTTCTTGGCACAGCCTTCACAGATCATCGGGTACTTGGGACAGATCTCATCATGTGCCTGGGAAAAAAAAAAAAAAAAAAAAAAAAAAAAGGCGACACTGTTTCTTTTAATGGCACACAAACAGCTGCTGTGATCTGCTGCACGGGCCCAGAGCAGCTGAGCATCTTCGGTCTAAATAAATAATTTCTAACCTTGATATTTTTGAAGTGAAATGGCTCCTTGCAGTACTTGCAGTTGAGCGTCCTCTCCGGGCATTCCCGCTCATTATGGCGCTCCTGTTCATTGAAGCGGATTCGTTCTTTGCAGGAAGGGCAGGGGATGATCATGAACTCGCACTTGCCCTCGTGGTTCAGCTGTGGAGAGAGGAGTTTAGGTTGAGCTGCTGTGGCGCAACGGTAGCCTCCGTGGCGTGCTGGGAGGCTGAGCTGCCTACAGGACGGGACTGTGTAAAAAGCTTTAAGCACTTTAGACGCTTGGATTCTTATCCATCAGGGAGACGTCCCAAATTCACTCTGCAACGGGACAACAAGTCCAAACAGCCGCACGGAGTCACGGAGAACTCTCTTCAGCCACCAGAAGAACGAGGAGTCCTGCAGCAGATGGTCTGGGCCCCGCAGAGCCCGGGGGCCAACTGCATAAATAAAAACTGCGCATACACATATTTTCCACAAATAAACTGGTATTTATAAGCACCAGAGGGTGTGTTGAGAATGTATGCGCCTCATGCATGGACAGTTTGAAATGATAACAAGGAGATTAAACATATCATGAGAGATAATGTTTGTTTAGGGGTTTTTACTGATTGTTGGTGTATTGTTCTTATATTTTTGAAATCTATGCAACATTTTTAATTTTCAATAACTGTTTGATGAGCTTAACATTCTTTTAAGGTATTTGTCATTTCAGCCTCATTGTACATTGGCTTACACCCGGGATCTTTCTGCATGGAGTTTGCATGTTCTCCTCATGCAGCGTGGGTTCTCTCCGGGTTCTCTGGCTTCCTCCCACAAGGTTCAAAAACATGTTGAGGTTAATTGGTGATTCTAAATTGTCCGTAGGTGTGAATGTGAGTGTGCTTGGTTGTCTGTTTCTAAGTGCAGCCCCTGGCTTCACCCTAAATCAGCTGGGGTAGACTCCAATGATGTGATCAATCAGTGGTAGACACTCATCTTTTACTGTGTTGTCTCTTTTATTCTTATGATTTTATTAAGTTTCGTTCAGATTTGTCTTCTAGTTATTGTGTTTTGGCCTCCTACTTTAACTGCACTTTGTTTCAGCTCTTTTTGTTTTTTGTTTTTTGTTTTTAAATGTGCTTTGCACTATTTCTTATACTTATATTTATATGTACATTTTTTACAAATTTTTTAAAATTTTTTATTTTTTATTTTTTTCCTGTCTCGTGTATGTGTACTTCTGTTGAATGCTGCTCTCAACAATGTGAATTTCTCCACTGTGAGATAAATAAAGGCTTATCTTATCTTATCTTATCTTATCTTATCTTATCTTATCTTATCTTATCTTATCTTATCTTATCTTATCTTATAAGTAAATTTGACTATGACCACTAAGCTGTGCTGCTTCTTTGTCGTTCATCAGTGGAGCATCCCCAACCCTCTATCGCAAACATGTAAAAGAGCCCATATGCTGCACATTGACAGGTATATATTTGTATTATTGGGTCCTACTACAATCTGTCTACCATTCTCAGTTTTTCATCAGGACAATAAGCCAAAACACTTCTCTGGGTTTCCATGAAAAAGTAGCAGCTTTGAGGAATCTAAACTTGACTGCACAGTAAGTGGAGCCAAACAAGCAAAATGCAGAATAATGACACATTTTGTGCACACTTGATCGCTAAAACAGGAAGTAGAACACAAAAACGTGAAGCAAAACAAATCACTGCAGGATGTGAAAGGTCACCTCACCTCGTAGTCTTTGATGCTGCCTTTCCAAGTGCAACTTTCATTGATGCAAACAGCTGACAGGTTTTCAACTTCCCTTCGAACCGCATTGTCTGGAAAAGCCTGAAAAAACACGAGACAACAAAAGGAATATTACCGTCGCATTGTGTCTCTCCAGTTGTTCCGTTGTACAGATCATTCAGCTGCACATTCAACACGTCACGTGACGAACTGTAAGTCAACCTGAGAGTTCATGTGTGCAAACATATTCTGTTTACTATCACAGATGGGAAAAAGTTGCATTTTGGAGACAGGAAATGGTGCACGCCTGGCTATTTTAATCAGACATGATCATAATTCAGTTATTAAACTTGTATTTACAGGACAAAAATACTTTCGTACTCACACATCCTTGTTTCAAAATCGACGTAGGATCCTCAAAAATATCCTCTTTAATGCAGGCGTTGCATTTCTGGGGTCCATTACTGCAAAAACACAACAACATGTACTGTTAAATTAAAACATGCAAACAGTAGATAGACAGTGGTGGAAACAAAAGCGTATTCCTATTTTACTGCAGTATTTACATTTTCTACTACTTTACAGCAGAATTCAGAAAACAGATTTTTTTTAATGAATATTTTAATTAGTATTTTTTTATGAAAGACTTAAATTTAAATAAAACACTGAATAAAATTTAGTAAAGAAATACATTATAGACATTTTATATTAAGCCATTCAAAGTAGTTTAAAAGACCCAACTTTCAATGAAGTCATGCTATAGTTAATAATAGGCTCACAAAATAGGATACACTGTGTTAGACCAACTACAATATTAAAATGCATACACACACTTTTATGTATCAGTAAAAATAATTCAGCGGTGTAATTTACCGCATAGTAATATTATAATATGTATTTCATTTATAATTAAAAAATTTCAATATGAACTACATATACACAAAAATTAAACTGAATTAAAAGAAATTAAATTAAATTAAATTTTATTTTTCAGTTTCATTTAAAACCAAAATCTGAAAACTTGTTTCAGGTGTCAAATTTAGAAAATTAAAAAGAAAACTATCAAGCACAGTCGATGTTTGTAATCTTGGTTTGCCATTTCTTATTTGGAAACCAAAAATAGTAAAACTTTTTTTCCCCCCAGATTTTAAATCAAAAAAAGTAACACAAAAAATTATGTGGCCTATTTGTTTGTTGGTTCCAAATGAAATATGTGACAACCATATTGAAAAAAAAATAAATCATTTTTGGTTTTTGCAGATTTCTTTTATTTGGTACAACACTGGATGTCCGCCTTCTTCACATTGTAAATGAGGCCTCCATATTTGAGATCAAATAAAGGTGAAATGATAAATTGATGAGCAGGTAGTGTTTAGAGGGTTTTTCTGCTGCCTTGTTTGAATGAGAGTAAATCTAAACTGTAACTTTATGGACCAAACGGCAAAACAATGACCTTAAAGTTGCTCTGAAGCTCCATACGGTTGACAGAGCTGCATATTCAAGTGATTGATACATGCTGCTTAAATGCACACACTTTTGCTTCATTTCCACACTGTAGTGTTGCTTATTTTACTCAGTTAAAAGTTCAAAGTGCTTCTTCATCCCAGAATGTACATTCCAGCTCCCGGCCGCCGGGTTCCTCACCTCACAGTCCTGTTGAAGCAGTAGGAACAGAAGCGATGTCCACACTGGGCTTGAAACGGCCGTCTGAGTATGTTGTGGCAGCAGTTGCACAGGTGTTTGTCCTCCAGCTTGTTACCCAGGATCTTCTTAGGGAAGCCGGGTTTATTGCTCTCCATGGACGAAGGAGGGGACGGTTCCTGTGTGGCCATGGTGTCTGTTCACACGTCACACCTGAGGAACAAGTGAACAGTCAGGAGATGTGACCTTTATTAACCTGCTACGGGCCAGAAATGTGACCCCATGTGCACACCATGGCTTCATTATTTCCATGTTTACCCAGAAACCAAGCAACGATGTGGAGTCGAAATAACAGCAGTTTATTATTTAATGGACATAATAAGGAAAAATACCAAAATAGCAGTTTGTGCTTCTAAACTGAATCATCTAATTAAAATGAAGCCATTTCTCTTGGGGCTCGAATGTTCACATGACAAGTTATTAAATGAGTCAGAGACGTTGAATCAGGTGGAAACAGGTAGAAAACCATGACTGCAGGAACAGGGTGACTGAATGGTTAACTGAATAGTGAAAAATGTCTTTTGTATTGTTTCAAAGCCCAAAGTGATGGCATCTAAGTACTTATTATCAGATCAACAACAACAACAACAAAAAAAAAACGTAGAGATTGGGGCTGCAACGAATGATTATTTTTATTGTCAATTAATTCGTCCATAATTTTCTGGATTCATTGATTACTTTTGAGGTCTTTAAAATGTCAAAAAATGGTGAAAATAAATGTCTTGTTTTGTGCACAACCCAAAGTTAATCAGTTTACTGTGATAAAGAAGTATAGGTGCAATGATCAGTCAATTAATCATTTAGTTGTCAATTACTACACTAATTGTCAACTAGTTTAATAAACAATTAATTGGTTTAAGTTAAAAAATAAATAAAAAATTTTTAAAAAGTCAAAATGTTCTGATTCCAGCTTCTCAACTGTAAATATTTTCTTGTTTGTGGACAAAACAACACATTTTTCATCTTGAGCTTTTGGGGAAAAAATCATCCATATTTTGTAACTATTTTCTATATATCAAGAAAATAATCAAATAATCATTATTTGAGGATGAAAATAATCATTTGTTGCAGCCCAACTCTCCTTGTTTTTCACCGTTGATCTGATAACAGTGAATTAGATGCCGTCACATTGGGCTTTAGAACAATGCAAAATGCATGTTTCACTATTTCAGACGGTGCAAACCAAGTGATTATTGACGAACCTCTTTTTACAGCCACAGTTGTTGTTGTAGCCCAACAGGGTAGGAAAGAAAGCAAAAAAAACAACTTACATTTAAGAAGCTGGAATTACAGATTTTGACTTTTGTTCCTTAAAAAAATGACCAATTAATCAATTATCAAAATAGTTTGTCAATAATTTAATAGTTGACAACTAATCGATTAATCGTTGCAGCTCTACTGAAGACACAGAAGGTAAATAAAGGCAGCTGTTTACACACTAGTCAGCAGTGTAGTGGGTTAATATCTGGGGGCCCTGGGTATGTTTAGGGCTCCTGGTAATGTAAACTTGATCAGCTGACACCATTTTCTGACATTCTATAGACTAAACAACCAATCGATTGATTGAGAAAATAATAGACAGATGAGTTAACAATGTAAGTAATCAGTAGATGCCGTCCTAACATCTCAGTTTTTCACTGTTGATCTGATAATGAGACACAAGATTCCATCAGGTTGAGTTTTTAAACACCATAAAGGGCAATTTGCACTATTTTAAACTGTAATGACCAACAAACACTATAACAATGAACCTCTTTCTGTAGTTGCTGAAGTAAGAAAAAATTACTCAGATTAACCGATTTTAAAACTAGTTGGTGATTCATATAATCACTGATAACTAACTGATTAATCCTTGCTGCTCTACTGACAACATGTGAGCACAGAATGTAAATCCAGGCAGCAGGTCAACAGTGTAGTGGGTTAATATGATATATGGGGCCCCTGGATTTCTTTGGGGCTCCTGATGATGCAGACTTGACCATTTTCTAACATTCTACAGACCAAACAACTAATCGATTGATTGAGAAAATAACTGACAGATGAGTTAACAATGTAAGTAATCATTAGATGCCGTCCTACTAGCTCAGTTTTTCACTGTTGCTCTGATAATAAGAAACAAGATTCCATCATGTTGGGTTTTTAAACAACAAAAAGGGCATTTTGCACTATTTTCGACACCAAACACCAAAACAATGATTCGATGAACCTCTTTCTGCCGTCATGGTCATTGGTTGTAGTTGCTGAAGTAAGTAAGAACTCAGACAGATGAATCGATTGTAAAACTAGTTGGTGATTCACATGATCACTGATAACTAACTGATTAATCCTTGCTGTTCTACTGAGAACATATGAACACAGAATGTAAATCCAGGCAGCAGGTCAGCAGTGTAGTGGGTTAATATGATATGTGGGGCCCCTGGATTTGTCTGGGGCCCCTGGAGATGCAGAACTGATCAGTCTTCAGACATGAGTACATGATGAGTGTAAAATCCTCCTCCAGCAGTGCTGCTCGTCTGGCAGAACCTGAGGCCAGCTGAAAGGCCCACACCCTTTGTTTACATTCTGCCTTCACGGCTCCTCGCAGCTCCAACCGGAGACGGTGGCCTCTCTCTCCGTGCGCTCGCAGCCTGCCCGGTAACGGCGCCGACAAAGCGCACATCCATTGTCTCCGCTCTGCCTCCTTCTCCTTCCTTGTTGCTAAGCTATCAGCATCCTTCAGTGGAGAAGTGGTACCCAGCGCCGCCACGCCCCTTTCAAATGTGAAGCCTGCAAGAGACCATTTAGTGGAAAAGCCTTGTGCAAATGCTGTTGCAGCCGCCGGAGTTTGCACTCACCACACTAAACTGTCATCGCGGGCAGCGGCCGTCAGATCACCGCTCCTGGTCGCGCTCCGTGCCGAGATTAAACGTGGTTCTGCAGCCGGCTGGAGGTGTCTTCTTTAACGTTAGCCACATAATACAGATGTGGTCCCCAAACGCGACGGCTGTTATTGTCCAATATCGCCATTGCACTTTCAGACTGGGTGTTACGTCATGCGGTGGGCTGAGCGCGGGTTGACAGGCAGACGGGCCGCGGAGGCCGCGCAGCCATTGGTCCGTCGGCCGGAGGGGGCGGGTCCGATCCGGAGGAGGAGAGTAAACATCCAGAGCTCATCCACACATGCACATCACACACTGATCTGCTCCTCAGGTCTGCATGTGTCTCGTTCCTGAGCTGCATCCTGCTCGTTAAACAGTCCTGATGTGGGCACAGTGGTGGAGCAGAACTGAGTACAAAGATTCAACTACTGTGAAGTTTTAAAAATATATGAACTATGAGGTACCTTAGTCTTTTGTATTTGTAGAAATTACTGATTTACAAACTGACATAAAAAACAAATCTCATATATCTTAAAGGTGCTTTGCTACAAGTAAAAGTCATATAAGAGTAACAAATATTTCTATTTTATTTGTACTTAAGTTCAATACTTGAATAAAAGTACTAATTCTGAACCAAAAATACTTGTTTGCAAATAAAAGTTTTGTAAAATGTAAAATTTCATGTGTAGCTTTTACTTCTGAGAAAGTATTTTCACAGTGTGGTATTACTACTTTTACTTAATTACTTAGGTTACTGATGTACTGTGCTACATTGTTAATTTGAGGGACCTCTTAAGTATTTTTTTCAAGTCACTTTGTACCTCTGTACTTTTCACTTCACTGTTTTTTTACAAGTAAAATAAATAAATACATAAAAAATTTCTCAGATAAATTCAGTGCTTGACTAAAAGTCCTAATACCAAACCATAAAAATACTTCTCTACAACTAAAAGTCTAACAAAATTCCAAATTGTACATGCATCTTTTACTTATGATAGAGTATTTTAACAGTGTGGTATTAGTACTTTTACTTAAGTTACTTAAGTTACTGAAGTATTTTACTAAATTGTGATTTGAGGTACTTCTCTTGAGTATTTTTTTAATGTCACTTTGTTCTGCTGTACTTTTTACTCCACTACTAGAAAGAAACTGAAATACTCAAGTATGTTCAGTACTTGAAGAAAACTGTTAAAATAGTCTATTGCAAGTTAAAGTTCTACAAAAGTAAAAACTATAATATTAAGCGTTTGCTCATAACAGAGTATTTTTACAATATGGTAGTATCACTTGAGTATTTTACTCAAGTTCTGTACTAAAGCACAAATTTTAAGTAGCTCACTTGAGTCCTTTTTTCCTGTTACTTTGTATTTTTGTCATTTTTACAACATAAACTCACATTAAGGACCTCAAATTTGAACTTAAGTTCAGTGCTTAAATAAAAATGCTACAACCAAACAATAAAATACTTAATTGTAAGTAAAAGTCCTATGAAAGTAAAGATTTCATGTGTAGTCTTTAGTTGTGACAGAGCACTTTAAGTGTTGGATTAATACTTTTACTTAAGTACTCAAGTTAATTTAGTATTAAATTGTTAATTTGACGTACTTCTCTTCAATGTTTTTTAATGTAAGTACCTCTGTACTTTTTACTCTACTGCACTTTTTACATGAAAGTAAACTTATAATATAATCAAGAACACAAGCATGTACATTCAATAATAAGAGAAAAGGACTTTAGAATTGTATATGCTTGAGTAAAGAGTCTCTCTGTGTCTTTCATGGCTGTGACAGAGAGAAGGAGGATGTTTGTGTCTCATGCGTGCGTCTCCACAAACACTATAGATGTGTTGTGTTCTTCTTATTTCTGGTCCTGATGACCTGGCATCACAGACTGAGTCCAGATTTGGGATCTTCTGTGATGCTGGATTTTCTTAATTTTGGGATTTGACTGTTCAATTCATTCCAGTGTAGAAAGTTCTGGCTGTTAGAGGGAGAGAAAAGTCAAAAGGTCAAAGTGAAAGATGCAGCTCTCTTCAGAGGTGTGGTTTTTCTCAATACTGACACTTTATGACTCTTATCAGGTTCTGATGGAGGTAGGAGACGCCCTGTTGTTTCCAAGAGGACTGAGTTGTCATTTAGTAGTAAATATCCAATATGCAGATGTTCCACCTGGGTGAAAGGTTTAAGCTCCTGTCCTCTCAAATTTACAGCTCTGAGAAAGGCCCTCTGGATTCTCTGTGTTATGCTGGAATGCTCTGCACATCAGTCCACTACACTTGTGACAGCGTGTTTTTACAGTGTGGCATTAGTACTTTTACTTACTTACAAATGTGACCTCATTATATTTGACAGGGAAATTTTGTGTTTTTTTTACTCCATAGTACCTTTTACAAAAAGTAAAGCATCTCAACTTTGTACTTATGTTTAATATTCAAATACAAGTGCTAACACCAAACTGTAAAACGTAACAGTCCTATTAAAGCACATATCAAAATGTATAGCTTTAGCTTGTAACAGAGCATTTTGACTGTTTACTGTACTTAAGTATAAATTTAAGGTAGTGTGTGCTTTTTACAACATGAGAAGACTCACATTAAACACCTTAAATTTGTACTTGAGTATTCCAACCAGTAAAAACACTCTGTTAAAAGTACCATTCCGACACAGAGAATCTTGAGGAAAGTCAGGAAAATGTACTTACTGTAGTAAATGTACTCAGTGCAGAAAGAAAAGCCCTTTCTTGGAACAGCTTGTTATTGCCTCTTTTGTGTCAAGTACATTTACTTAAGTACTGAACTAAAGTACAAATTTGAGGTACTTTTCTTGAATCTTTTTCTTTTCATGTCACTTTGCACTTTTACTCTTCAACATTTTAGAAGGAAATATTGTACGCCTACACCACTAAATAATACTGTCACAAGTCAAAGTTCTGCATCGTAAACTTTGTTCAAGTGTGACATTTATATTTGATAAATAGCTTTTATGCTATGGCACTAGTAGAACCTTCACTGGAATTAGGTACAAATTCTGCAAAGGGACTTTGCTTTTCGTATGAAATACTATAGAGTAAAAAAAGGTATAATATCGCCATCTGGAATGTAGTACAATAGAAGTAGAAAATCACATGACGACACTCATGTTAAGTACCTCAAATAAGTAATAATACTTAAGTATAATACTTGACCGGTTACTAATTAAGTGTGGAGTGAAGCCGCGGTTTAATGTTAAATACATCAGCAACTAATACATACAGTATAACAATGTACAATGATCAACTTTGCTCATTATACTTGACTTGCATTTTTTTTCTAATTATATGAAATCATGGGTTGCACGGTGGCTCAGTGGTTAGCACCCTTGCCTCACAGCATTCTGGTTAGGACGCCCAGGATCTTTCTGCATGGAGTTCGCTTGTTCTCCCTGTGCAGCGTGTTCTCTCCAGCTTCCTCCCATAGTCCATGTGAATGTGAATGTGAGTGTACTTGGTTGTCTGTCTCTAAGTGTAGCCCTGTGATAGACTGGTGACCTGTCCAGGGTGTCCCCTGTCTTCACCCTAAGTCAGTTGGGATAGGTTCCAGCCCCCTACGACCCCAGTGAGGACAAAGCGGTGTATAGATAATGGATGGACTTTTACTTGTAGCAAACTGAATTGTTCTTCCACCACTGCTTAAAATTGTGCGATTGGGTTACATCAGAGGTGTTTGCATGCATTTGTCTGTGGTCTGCAGGTGCGTCAGCTGACAGCGTCTTATGTAACCTGCTGTCTAACCATAAATAAGAAAGCTGCCGAAGCAAAGTTCAGCAGACACGTTGCAGGAGCTGTTTATTCAGGACAGTCATACAGTCACTACAAGAGTTAAAGGCACAGTCTGGGATTGAAATGTAAACCACAGCGTTGAAAGCTTCTACTGCTCCTGAAATTATTAACTGATCTTCTGTTACACAATCAGAAAAAAAATTAAGTTAGCTCTTTAATCATTTTACTGACTATAGATTTAACAAGTGTTGTTAATGCTTTTAGTAGAAAGTCCACATTTACAATACAAAAACATTTTGAACACCTCTGATTTGCTCTTATTTGCAACAACTCTACTTATGTGCGCTGAAGCAGCTTGACAGCGTTTGCAAATGTTTCCACCTTCAGATGAGTGATTTATACACAACATAAATATAATTAATTTTAGTGCTAACAAATACATCTGAATAAAATTAATTGACCTTTTAAGAAATGTTTGGAAACACTGAAATAGGACCTTTGGACCTGACACCTTAATAAAAAACCTCTGCGGGAGCAATTTAAAAGCTCTTAGACAAATACTACATATGGGCTACCACAGGCAGTCTAACAGCACAGCTTTTTGTTTAAGAAAAAAAAAAGATAAAACAGTCCTGAGTGGAAAGGTGAAGGAAGCTAATATTGCACAATTTAAGTTCACACAGTAATAAGAAAGCTGTCTGTATGAGCTGTCGATACTTTGGCGACTAATCTGATTTCTGCTAATCTGCAGAGCACAAACAACATTTCTAATCAACAGTAAAGCTTCTGTCCAGACACAACAAGGCTTCTTTTAAGTCTCCTCAAGGAGCTTCCGGAGGTTTCTTTGAATCTAGAAAAAAAACAGAACAAAAACATGGAAAATCATGTTCAGC